TACTATATCTATCCATGTTGAACACTTCAATAGTCCATTGAATAAACATGGACAAAGAAGAAAGGTAAGATATTGTATGGTTTATCTACTATATCTATCCATGTTGAACACTTCAACAGTCCATTGAATAAACATGGACGAAGAAGAAAGGTAAGATATTGTATGGTTTAGCTACTATATCTAATTTGTGAAAAACATTTTAAATTATATTGGTCAATAATTATAATTGCTTGATGGGGCTAAATGTAATTTAGACTAAGTTAAAACCACAACAGCGCATGCTAGCCCAAGCACAGTTGACCAGCTGACCATCCACACTACGCATGCCCCCTCACTCCAGGTGGTGTGTTCACTAGTAGTTTGTATGCCATTTTTGCATGCTTGCCATCGTTCAAGTTGCCCTCCCTCCCTCCTCTATATGGTAAGTTTGGTCATCTTAGGCCTAGGGCAAACGTCGAACTTTCCATGCACTGAACTTAATTACATCAAAGAATGTCGCCTCATTATCACCTGATAATCATTGTTTTTGACCTAGGCCTTAGGTAAGTAATATCTCTACTGTTTTAACAGTGTGACAGCTTCCAGTGTTGAGTTGTGGCCTGGTTGCCATGGTTACCTCCTTGCTGAGGGATATTCTGCACTGGAACATAGCCCAAATTTATTAGTTAGTTGAAGATTTTAACTAAGAAATGTGAGCGCTTTTCCTCTTGTGGTTAACCTAAATTACTGTGTATATAATGATCATATATGAGATAAAAATACCGTAGATGTAATACTACCGGACTGTAATCAATACTAATTTTGTGGGTGTATCTTAAACAGGAACTACTGTTGCCTGGCCTTACTTCTGTTAAGAGTAGGGAATCCATGTCTGCGTCGTTACTTCAAAAATCAGTGGAATGCTGCAGGAAAATACACACCTTGGACTGACTGTGCTCAGAATGGAGCTGACCTGCTGCGGATGTTTAAGCCTCTTTGGTATGAAAAGAAGGCAGTGACATCTGGTGATACATCAGGATGGGACATGTCTCTTTTAATCAATGCTCTTCTTCATTCACGGCCACCATTTGTTGTAGCAGCTAATCTGGTAGCAGCCCTTAAAACGTTAAAAGAAATGCGAAACAATTTGTGTCACTCTCCAGTTTCAAGGGTTGAAGCTACTGAGTTTCAAACATCATGGAGGGATGGATGTAATTCACTGAGGTTGTTCGGCGCTACTGCTGGGGACTTTGATAAGGTGGAACAAGGTGAGAGTTATATTAAATCAGATAGATCACATCCATCATGTATGTCATTCAACACTATTTACATTCATGTAGTCATTCAATCTTTCCTATAAAAATTTAGAATGGAATAGAGTAGGAATAGGATGGATTAGAACAGACTGGATGATATAGAATGAAAGAGAACAGAATAGAATAAGAACAGAATAGAGTAGGAATAGAAGGGATTAGAACAGACAGAATGAAATAGAATGAAAGAGAACAGAATAGAATAAGAACAGAATAGAGTAGGAATAGAAGGGATTAGAACAGACAGAATGATATAGAACAAAAGAGAACAGAATAGAATAACTTAGAATAGAATAGAATAGAATAGAGACAAACAAAGAGAGAAAGTCTGGGGGAGGGGGGGGGATGAGGGATATTCCTTTTCAGACAAAATTTTCATTTCAAAATTGTATTTTAGCGTTTAATCTGCAAGTGCAAGGAGTGGAGGAATGATATTTGTTTTAAATTTAGGGTGTTAATTTTTGGTAGGACTTACACTCAAGATAAGAACTTGGTCATAAGTTTTCTTAAGGAAATAGTATGAAATGTAGAAG